GGTAGGGCGTTTGCCTTGCAAGCGGCCAATATGGACGACCTGAGTTCAATTCCTCTGCCCCTCTCGGAGAGCCCAGCAAGCTACCGAGAGTATCTCGCCCACATGGCAAAGCTTGGCAAGCTCCCCGTGACGTATTCGATATGCCAAACGCAGTAACAACAAGTCTCACAGTGGAGACATTACTGGGCCCGCTCAAGCAAATCAATGAACAACAGGAGGACAGTGACAGTGACAGTGACTGGCTCTATGCTCAGGAATCTCTCATGGTGGTGCTTGGGGGCCATATGTGGTGCCAAGGTCAACTACTTGAGGGGTTAAATCAAAAGCCCTTAGCTCATGTACTATTTCTGACTGCTTGTCCACAATTTTGGAGCAGATCACACATGGGTATGAATATCAAGAGGTAAGAGCACTGGGGACTGTCCTGGAGACTTGTAACCAAAGGGCCAGATCATAGGTAAACAAGCTACTTGAAAGCAGATTGAAAGCAGATTGTCAGGGCTGGAGCCATAGCACACCGGGTAGGGCGTTTGCCTTGCATGCGGCCAACCCAGGTTCGATTCCCAGCATCCCATATGCTGGATTGTGCCCTGTCACAGCACTGTCTATCTCAGGAACTCTAAAGGGCAGCCAAGAGAGTCATGATCCCAGTGGGCAGGGTTCCAGAAAGTCTATTGAGTCCTTGGCTTTATATAAAGTACCCTGAGGTCTGGTTATGCATAAACTCCTAAGTAACTCAGGAAGGAGGAAACGAGACTCCGCCTCTTAATGGAGGGAGTGACAAATCATCAGGCAGAAGAGCACAAAACATGGGGACTGACTACTGTGGCTATCAGTGGGAACACAATTCTGTCTCATGTTTATGTCAGAGGGTCCATCAATAGTGAAGACTCGGGGGCTGGAGAGAGAGTACAGCGGGGGGCAATCCCTTGCCCTGCGGGAGAAACCCAAGGACTAAGAGGGCTCTAGGCGTTCCAAAGGGAAATGACCCCTCCCCCCACGATAACCCCAACCTAAGGGTTAGCGACTCACGGTTCAGAGGTTTTCACGGTATTATGGCGGGGAGGAGGCTCTTCGCTGCACGCACCCGAACCGGACCGGTTTCAATCTCCTGCACCGCACAGGGTCGCCCAAGCCCTGGCGGGGAGGGTGACCCCTGAGTACCGCCGGGTGTGGCCCAAATTGCATCCACCCCCACAATATCAACTTCTGTCGATCAAAAGTCACCCTGAAGTGTCAGGTCCCGCACCCCGCATCACCGAGGCAAGACCTCAGCCCCCAGTCCAGAGCTGTGCACTACGGGGTTGGCCGCTGGACCAGGATCAATCCGGTCGGGAGCGGGGGACTCCCGGCCGCGGGCCCACCTCTCCACTCACCTTGACAAGGGGTTGCTTGAGATGTCAGGGCCCACCTCTCCACTCACCTTGACAAGGGGTTGCTTGAGATGTCAGGGCCCACCTCTCCACTCACCTTGACAAGGGGTTGCTTGAGATGTCAGAGCAGTTCCGTGGGAATGACTTCTTGTGGTTACTGACCAGGCTATATAGTCCCGGCCTGGATGAAGCCCCACCCACAAAGTGTCAGTCAAGTGGCTGAGCCCCACCTACCCCACGCCAGGTGCTCTGAGGTCATCCCTCTGGGGCTGCTATTTCAGTAAGAAATTCAGTCTCCTTGGTTAAAGAAACTTGGTACATCTACACAATGGAGTACTATGTAGCTGTTAGAAAAGATGAAGTCATGAAATTTACATACAAGTGGTACTACATGGAAAGTATCATGCTAAGCGAAATGAGTCAGAAAGAGAGGGATAGACATAGAAAGATTGCATTCATCTGGGGGACATAAAGTAACAAAATAGGAGATTAATACCCAAGAATAGTTGAGATCAGTACCAGGAGGATTACTCCATGGCTTAGAGGCCAGCCGGGCATTCTAAGGGAAAGGGCAGCTCAGATAGAGAAGGGAGCACCAAATAAAGGGCGTTTGGAGGATCCTCCCAGGAATGGGAGATGCATGTTGAAAGTAGACTATGGACCGAACATTATTGCCACTCAGTGCCTCTTTTGCAGACCACAACACCCAAAAGGAGAGAGAGAACAAAAGGGAGTGCCCTGCCACTGAGACAGGGTGGGATGGGGCGGGGGGGATGGAAGGGGAAGGATACTGGGATCCGTGGTGGTGGAAAATGGGCACTGGTGGAGGGATGGGTATTTGATCATTGTATAATCGAAACCCAAGCACAAAAAATTGTAAGTCTACAACTGTACCTCATGGTGTTTCGCTAATAAAAATTTAAAAAACAAAGAAATTCAGTCTCTTTCATAAACAGCCACAATGTTTCTTAGGAACTTTCTTTTCTTCCTTCCACCCATTTCTCACGGACTATACCAGGGTGGGTACTGGTAGTGGGGTGGCTTCTGGTGGTGCTCCCAAACCAGTAGTGCCATGGGGAAATCCAACCCAGGGGTAAAACATGCATTCAGCCCTTTGAGCTATATCCCGGACTCTATGTATAGCTTTCCCTTTTTGGTACTAAGAATGATAAATTTAAAGTACCTAACGAGATTACCTCCTGCATGGAAGACCTAAGTTATTACTGAGTTGCATCTCTATCTCTTGTTGTCTTTCTCTTTTGCTTTGTTCCTGAGCCACACCCAGTGCTCTGCACTCAGTAATCCCTCCTGGAGGGGCTCGGGGACCATCTAGGGTGGTGGGGTCGCATGCAAGGCAAGCTCCCTCACCCCTGTACTGTCCCCCTCTGGCCCCTGTCTCTAATTACTCGAATTGCTCTTACTAGTATACTTTTCTCTGCGGTACGTTCCCCGGTTTAGGAGAGCATGTGCCAACTTCTGCCATTGGGCATTCGCCTTACAAGCGGCCAACATGGCCGACCCGAGTTCGATTCCTCCGCCCCTCTCGGAGAGCCCGGCAAGCTACCGAGAGTATTCGATATGCCAGACACAGTAACAACAAAGTCTCCAATGGAGACGTTACTGGGCCCGCTCGAGCAAATCGACGATCAACGGGAGGGCCTTTACCTTTACCTTTACCTTATTATTTTTTTAAATTTATTTATTGAATCACCATGGGAAAGGTTACAAAGCTTTCAGGTTTAGGTCTCAGTCATGCAAATATCAAACACATTTCCCTTTACCAAAACTTATTTTTTACCATGAAGAACCCCAATAAAACCCCACCCCCCACCCCTCCCAGTCCCTGTGGGGCAGATGAATTCTAGTTAACACTCTATCTGCTTTGATTAGATTCATTGTTTCAATAAAAGATTCACCACTATTATTTAGAGTTTACCCCCCCCCCCCCAAATCAGACATGCTGAAAAAGCATTGTGAAGTGATTTGCTTTCTACAGCTGGGTTCAAAAATTATATGTTGGTTTTGGATTTCTGCTATTTTACTTATTGACCCTGGAAGTATTTCTACTGAAAGTCAGATAGTTAAGAAATTGGTTTCTGTGCTCTGGAGACGTGGCCGTGCTGGAGAGCCGCTAGTGGGGGGCAACTGGTGGCCTCGGTAGGGCGTGAAGGGCGGACCAAAACGCCCCCCATCCCATGAGGTTTTAGTCACCCCCACTCCCCCGGCTCATACCTGCTGTCCACAAGGCTCCCATGCGGCCGCCATCTTTCTTTCCAGAGAGGAGAAGGCGACTGGGGCAACACCCTTTCCCCTCTGGACAGACCTGATGGCCTGGATTAACGCATAGTCCGTTCACTTTTCTGCTCCAAGCTGCCGGGTTCTGCATTAAGTCCTTGTGCTTCTGGGGCCGTGGCCGTGCTGGAGAGCCGCTCGCGGGGGGCAACTGGTGACCTCGGTAGGGCATGAAGGACGGACCGGAACGCCCCCCTTCCCATGAGGTTTTAGTCGCCCCCACTCCCCCAACTCATACCTGCTGTCCACAAGGCTCCCACGTGGCCGCCATCTTTCTTTCCAGAGGGAGGAGGGCAGAAGGGACCAACACCTTTTCCCCTCCGGGCAGACATGATGGCCTGGATTAACGCATAGTCCGTTCACTTTTCTGCTCCAAGCTGCTGGGTTCTGCATTAAGTCCTTGTGCTTCTGGGGCTGTGGCCGTGCTAGAGAGCCGCTCATGGGGGGGCAACTGGTGACCTCGGTAGGGCGTGAAGGGCGGACCGAAACGCCCCCCTTCCCATGAGGCTTTAGTCACCCCCACTCCCCCGGCTCATACCTGCTGTCCACAAGGCTCCCATGCGGCCACCATCTTTCTTTCCAGAGAGGAGAAGGCGACTGGGGCAACACCCTTTCCCCTCCGGACAGACCTGATGGCCTGGATTAACGCATAGTCCGTTCACTTTTCTGCTCCAAGCTGTCGGGTTCTGCATTAAATCCTTGTGCTTCTGGGGCCGTGGCCGTGCTGGAGAGCCGCTCCCGTGGGGCAACTGGTGACCTCAGTAGGACGTGAAGGACGGACCGGAACGCCCCCCTTCCCATGAGGTTTTAGTCGCCCCCACTCCCCCGACTCATGCCTGCTGTCCACAAGGCTCCCATGTGGCTTCTGCCGTTTTAAATTGTAATTCTTTCCCCTCTTTTGAAGAGTTCACTCTCTCCAGTTACGGGAAGAAGGGGAGAGTTACATGCAAGATAGAGTTTGGTCGGGAGAGGAATCCCAGCTCCCGTTGGGTTTAAAGGTGTGATCCCCTTGGACAGGAGTGACGGAAGCGCGGGTAGGACGCTTGCCGGGCACGGGGTAGGACGCTTGCCGGGCACGGGGCCGAGCCGCTTTGTGATCGGACTGTGCTGGCAACCTGCATCCAGCAGAGCTGATGGAACGCTCCGCACTGGCTCCCGAGGCCGGCGGGACTCCGCCCCCTGTGCCTCCAGACTGGGCGGAGCATCCGGGTGCTCGCCCCACCCCCACCCCAGAGCAGCCAATCAGCTGTCTTCCTCTAGCGCGGGGCGGGATTTCCTCCCGGAGCGCACGTGGGCGGGAGGGCGGGCATACAGACAAGCCCCGCCCCGGAACTGCAGTGGGCGCTGCGACTGCGGAGCGGCCACGGCGGCTGAGGAGACGTGTGGCGGTGGCGTCTGCGCTCGGTGAGGAGCCGCGACCGGCTGGGGCTGGCGAAGGGGCACGGCGTGGGGTGCGGGGGGCTTTTCGGAAGCGGCTGGCTCCCTCGGGGTCTGGGCTTCTCGCCGTTTGCGGGGAAGAGCCCGGCCCGTGGCCGTCGGCCGCGCGCCCGCTGACGTGCGCGCCCGGGAGGCGCCATGCTGGGCGCCCTCCGAATCTGCGTCACGTTTTCTCCTCGGCGGGGCGCGGAGGGACCCGGGTTTGCGGGCGCGGACCCCCAGGACCCCCGTTCTCCCCTAGACCTGGTGCTGCGGGGCGTTAGGGGGGTGGGTGGGCGTGGCGGGTGGGCGGGCTTGGAACCCGGTTGCTTCCTCGTAGCTGACCCACGAGCTCCCGACCTGATTCCCCCAACTGATGCTTAAAAATCAATCAATCAATCAATCAATCAGTCAATCAGTTTTACTCTCCTTCTCCCATCTGGGGTGTTGGGGGTGGCGGGCGCGACAGGTGCTCCTCCCCGAGCCATTCCCCCCCGCCCCCATAGTTGGGGTCTGTGTCACCGCTCAGGAGCCTGGGGGTGGGGGTGGGGGGGTTGCTTGATGCTCAAGACGTTTGGCCGAAGCTGGAAACGTGACATGGAGCAGGCGTCCCCGGCATTGTGCGGTTCTGATCCAGTTGGGCCTCCCACCCCTTCCTTACGTTAACCTGCGACATACGTGGCCGAGTGTCGCAGGCGCTGTCCACCACGCGTCCGTTGGGGTGATTGGCCCCGCAAGGGGGGTGGGGGGCTGCCGAGGCGTGACGTGGGAGACCTGCGTTTTCTTTCTGCGAGGTTTCAGTCGCAGGACTGCCCCGGGATGCATAAGCAGTGGGTTTGGGTCCGGAATCCCACCAGATCTGGCCTGTGTGGCCCGAGCCTGTTGCTGATCTCCTTCCTGGGTCTTTCTCTCTTGGGCCCGGCCCACGCTTGCTGGTTTCTCAGGGATGTTTCTCGTTTCCAGCTTTGATCTTGGGGAGTGCATCCTGACTGTCCTCTTGTTCTTTGCAGGTTTCTGATAACGCTCCAGGCAGCTTCGGCAGACAGTGTCATTGGTCCCTCCCTAACCAATTTGTAACTATGTATCTCATAGTAATTCAATGGAGGAAAAAAAAGTAACCTCACACTAGATTGCTTCCAGAATCCACCCAATGTCTACATTCTCAAATCCATTCACTGCTAACAAACTCACCAACTCTAAAAGCAATCCTTTGGGCTGGAGAGATAGCACAGCGGGTAGGGCGTTTGCCTTGCAAACCCGGGTTTGATTCCCAGCATCCCATATGGTCCCCTGAGCACCGCCAGGAGTAACTCCTGAGTGCAGAGCCAGGAGTAACCCCTGTGCATCGCCAGGTGTGACCCAAAAAAGCAAAAAATAAATAAAAATAAAAGCAATCCTTTTTTATCTTTAGACAAACCTTGAAAATTGGACACCCTTCCCTTCTATTTGAAGAGGGTTTGCCTTGCCAGAAGGATAAAGTCAGTCCTCCCCTAACCAGTGGTTTCCCAGTTTGCAGTCTAATGCCTCCTCCTCCCTTTTCAGCAACCATGAAGTTGAAGGAGGCAAAATCCAAATCAAAGGGACCAAACAGTGGCAAGTTTCGGACCAAAGGGATCAAAGTTGTGGGGACATGGAAGGAGGTGAAGATCGACCCGAATGTGTTTGCGGATGGCCAGATGGATGACTTGGTCTGCTTCGAGGAGCTGACAGATTACCAGCTGGTCTCCCCAGCCAAGCACTCCTCCCGCCTCTTTGCAAAGGAAAAGCCCAAGAAGAGGAAGGTGCAGGCCGTTTCAGAAGGCGAGGGGCCAGGGGAATGTAGCTCCTCAAAGAAAAAGATGAAGAGGAAAGATGTGGAAACGGAAGGAACTAGTGGGGGGGAAGAGTTGAAAGACAGCGAGGCTGAACCCGAGCCTCTCGAAGATGCAACTGTTAGTGCTGAGCCACAGGCAGAGAAGGTGGCGTTAGCACGGACTGTTCCAAAAAAGAAGAAAAAGAAAGGGAAAAAGACATTGCCTTGCCAGGGTACTACCCCGAAAGTGCCTAAAAAAGCAAAGACTTGGATGCCAGAAACACAGGACCAAAAGGCTGATGTGTCAGCGTGGAAGGATCTGTTTGTACCCAGGCCAGTTCTCCGAGCACTCAGCTTTCTAGGCTTCTCTGCACCTACACCCATCCAAGCTCTGACCTTGGTGCCGGCCATCCGGGACAGACTGGACATCCTGGGGGCTGCTGAGACAGGTAGGGTATTATCTGGCTGGGGAATACTGCTTCCTGATGGAACCGGGGGCAGCATGCAGGGAACCTGACCAAGCACAAAAGCGAGCTTGAGTGAAGTGTTTAGAAGTGTGCTGGCTCCTGGGGTGGAGTCAGTCGGCCATGGACCATTTGGCATCCTAGGCAGTTCAGTCGTGAGTCCTGTTGATCCTCTTATAAAATGGGGAAAATAATTGCCTGTTTCATTGGTAGGTTAAATCATCCGCAAAGGGAATTTTTAAAAACCAGTTTTTGAGCTTTTTCTGAATAAAGTAGGACTGACATTATCCTTCTGGCAAGGCAGATCCTCTTCAAATAGAAGGGTGGGGTGTCTAATTTTTTAAGGTTTGTCTAAAGATAAAAAGGATTGCTTTTAGAGTTGGTGAGTTTGTTAGCAGTGAATCGATTTGAGAATGTAGACATTGCGTGGATTCTGGAAGCAGTCTAGTATGAGGTTACTTTTTTTTTTCCCCCCATTGAATCACTGTGAGATACATAGTTACGAAGTTGTTCCTGGTTGGGTTTTAGTCATACAAGAGGTTACATCTTGTAAGCTCCCTCATCCTCCTGTTCTTCTAGGAATCTGTGAAACAATAACAGGTTCTTAGCTCTAACTTGACTATTGACTGTTGATTGGGAGGCGATTCTTCATTAGTCCAACAAGATCGCTCTTTGATCCGTAGGGAGATATGTAATGTTAGCCACATATGTAGCTTTAAATTTTGTAGGAGCTATAAAGAACGGGTGAAAAATCTGTGTACTTTATGTAAAATTATTCCGTATTTTAAAAATACTAAAAAGATTTTAAAATTTGATAGGGATTTTTAAACTTGATGCATATCTCTAGCATAACAATGGTTTGTTTAGCAACTCCATTTATGGCTAACGGCCACACTTCCCTGTGTATGAGATGGTGGCAAAGTATATGGAGGCAGTAAAGCGTGAGAATGTCATCCCACAACTCTTAGATGCTGAAGGATAAGGTTTCAGACACAAAATGCTAAAGAAATTTAAATTTAAGTACTTAATTTGTTACATTTTTCCCAGCCAGTAAAATAGTGACTGAGCTATGGGGAGAATGAAATGATGATTGAACTATTGAGATTCATGCTTCGGGGTATCAACCTCCTTAGCCCCATCTCTAAATTGGGTTACACACTGGACCATCTATGCTGCTTTCTCTGTTGTCCTTATTCCTCTTCTGTTTATTTATTCTCTGCTCTGATTTTCTTTCCTCTTCTTGCATCTCTCTCTCTCTCTCTTTCTCTCTTTCTCTCTGTCTCTCTCTGCTCATACTCTTTCAGGACTACAGAGACTGGGAAAATGATGTTAGTTTTGAGGTATGGAATCTTTACCCCATAGAGAAGTGTGCCCATGTTGCTCATACAGTTATTCTTCAAACCAGAGTTAATAGAACTTCTCTGTAGTTTGTTCTAATTCACTAATAACAATGTAGTACTGTCCTCCCGTTGTTCATCTATTTGCTCTAGCGAGCCCAGTAACGTCTCCATCGTGAGACTGTTGCTGCTGTGTTTGGCATATCGAATACATCACTGGTAGCTTGCCAGGCTCTCAGAGAGGGGTGGAAGAATCAACTCAGGTCGACCACGTGGTCCACGTGCAAAGCAAATGCCTTACCCACTGTGCTATCGCTTCTGCCCATAATAATTAATAGGCCTGAAAATTTATTAAATTTATCATAATGGGAAAGTTACCTAGACATCATGTAAATCTCTGCAACTTCAAAATGATTGAGAAAAAAAATTATGTGCATACGTGAACATTTACAAATATGAGAAATGATGCGGATGTAGGAAGATGTTGAAAATTGGTGGCTGTAAAGAGTTCAGTAGTATTTTTCGCTCTGGTCCTTGTAGACTTTAAAACTTTGAAAATAAAAAGTCCGGCAAATGGCTGGAGATATAGCTCAGTGGGCTGAAGTGCATGTTTTGCAGTCCAGAGGCCAGGTTCAATCCCAGCGCTCCATACATGATCCACGAGCTCAGAGTCAAGTGTAGCCTACGATCACCATTGAGTATGGCTTTCCCCCTTCCAAAATCTTCAACAGAAACACTGCAAAGTATTTACCCACCCTTCACTCCTTAGATGCACTTAGAGAATGCATCTGAAGATCTTCTGCCCCCCAAAAGGGAAAAAATTAACAATGGGGGAAACATCGAAAATAAGAGCTTCATAAAAGGTAAAGGCCCTCCCGTTGTTCATCGATTTGCTCGAGCGGGCCCAGTAACGTCTCCATTGGAGACTTCGTTGTTACTGTGTCTGGCATATCGAAAACGTCACGGGGAGCTTGCCAGGCTCTGCCGTGCGGGTGAGATACTCTCGGTAGCTTGCCGGGCTCTCCGAGAGGGGAGGAAGAATCAAACTCGGGTCAGCCATGTTGGCTGCGTGCAAGGCAAACGCCCTACCGCTGTGCTATCGCTCCAGCCCAAGAGCTTCATAGTAGAATAGAAATAAAAGAGAATCTTAAGCTTAATGGTGAAGAGTAAGACCCACCGTGAAAACTATGGAGGACCGAATTATTTAGATTGGGGCTATTCAGAAAAGTTTTGTTTTTGTTTTGAGCCCCACCCAGCCATGCTCCCGGGTTACTCCTAGCTCCGTTCAGGAATTGCTCCTGGCCGGGCTTGGGAAAACATGGGATTCTGGGGATTTAACTCAGGCTAGCCAATTACTTACAAGGCAAATGCCCTACCCGCTCTACTATGGCTTTGCCCCCAGAAAAGTCAGATTTTAAAGAAAGTAAAAGAGTCTCTGATAAAAGTTGAATATTCAAAAAGATTTAGAAAATTGGTAGAGGTTGAATGTAATGAGTACATAGAAAACTAAGCAAACAAAAATCAATACCATTATTAACTTTAAAGGAAGAATTGTGCAGAAAAGAACTAATACTGGACATTATGCAACTAAACTCTGCAGCGTTTATACATTCATAGTAACCCAGATGACCCAAATGTTGGGCACTTCACATATTTCGAAGGCCAGATTATAGCCAAGCATAGCCAAAAACATGGTATTTTAAAATTACCTTAAAAGCTAAGGCAGTTATCTTATTCCTTTTATCACCAAAGAGAATTGTGTTTACCCCATGTCCCACCATGTTGTCCCGTGCCCCCCCCCCCCCCCCCCCCCATTGGTTCTTTACAACAGTCAGGCTCAGGCAGCTTGCCAGATCTCTTTTTAGGGGTTTTATTGCTTGGGCTTTTGTTTTTCGTGGAAGTTCAGGCCAGGTAGAAGAGTCAAGAGTTAGTCCCTTATTTTACAGGAAAGAGAGAATTCCTGGCAAAAAGTTTGTGTGCCTGTTGACTTGCTCTTATTTTTTCTCCTCTAAGGAAGCGGGAAAACTCTGGCCTTTGCCATTCCAATGATTCACATAGTGCTGCAGTGGCAGGCGAAGAAGAGGCCTACTCCATCTCCTAGAAACAGCGGACCGCCGCCCCCTGGAGTGCCGGAAAGCAAAGCTGGGGCTGAGACTGAATCACAGAGCAAGTCTGGCCCTGACTCTGGAGCTTTGCCCGACGAGTCTGGAATGGAGAGCGAAGCACAACCTCGCAAAGCCGTGGTGAAGGCCGCAGCAGCACCCAGCAAGGCTGAAGCGGAGCCCGCAGCCCCGGGCTCAGAGCAGGTGCCGCCCGTCTGCGATGATGACGCTGGGGAAGGGCCTTCCTCCCTGATCAAGGAGAAGCCTTTCCCCGAACAGGACGAGGATGGAGAGGAAAAGCCTGGCGAAGAGCAGACTGAAATGTTAAAACAGGAGTTCGGTGGGAAAAGTGCCCCTTACAGACCGCGTCCGAAGTGTCCTCTCCTTGGATTGGTTTTGACTCCCACTCGAGAGCTGGCTGTCCAGGTCAAACAGCACATTGACGCTGTGGCAAAGTTTACAGGTGAGGGTCATTCTCTTTATAAGTATATCCTGAGAGGATCTCTGATGCAGGAATGGCAAAAATGAGTAATACGGCTTCTGCCCTCTAGAAGAAACTTCTCGTCTGCCAGAGAATTCACCTTGCCCCCAAAAAGTGTGAAACTCTCTTAATTCTTCCAAGTATAGTACATCCAGTTAATGTCATTAAGGAAGTGATTGGTTATTTTTTTCAGAAAGCACACTTGGTAGTGCCCAAGGGGCTCTTTGTGATGCTGGAGATTAAACTCAGAGCCCCCAACTACCTCTTGAGCCATATGCCCAGATGCTTCGTTAAGTTTTTGTTTGTTGGGTTTTTTTTTTCTTTTTGGGTCACACCTGGCAATGCTCAGGGGTTACTCCTGGCTCTGTACTCAGGAATCACTCCTGGCGGTACTCAGGGGAACCACATGAGTTGCTGGGAGTCAAACCCAGGCTGGCTGCATGCAAGGCAAACGTCCTACCCACTATGCTATTGCGCCAGCCCGTCGTTAAGTAAGTTTTGTAAATGTAGCCACCCCCATTTGTGTACCTACTCCATGTAATGTTTTCCTTCTAGGATCATTTATTTCCTTTGTCTAAAGAATAGGATATTATTAGCTTGTACAGAAATCATTTTGCACCTCTTGGCCCTTTAAGAGGAAGTTCGCTGGCCTAGGTCTTAGAACATTAAAACTTCATTCTTGGGGAATTTCCTTTGGGAATTTAAATTTTATAATAAAAGCGGGTTATAATCATGTTGAGTGAAATGAGTCAGGAGGAGAGGGACAGATACAGAATGACTGCTTTCGTTTATGGCATATAAAAAAATTATATGAGACTAATATCCAAGGCCAGAAAAAACAAGAGCCAGGAGGACGGGTCAGTAGTAGGAAATTACCACAAGTGTGTTTGGACAGGGGAAGGGGTACTTGAGATAGAGGAGGGTTCAGTATGACAGCAGTACAATAATTGGAAATGATCGCTCTGGACGAGAACTGAGTGTTGAAAGTAGGTAAAGCAATATCCATGATAACCTCTCAGCATCTGTATTGCAAACCTTAATGCCCTAAATGAGAGAGAGAGAAGAGAGGTGCCTGCCATAGAGGCAGGCTGGGGGTGGGAAGGAAACTGGAGACATTGATGCTGGGAAATTACACTGGTGGAGTGATGGTGTTGGAATATTGTATGACTGAAACCCAATCTTGAACAGCTTTGCCATGCTCTATCTCATGGTGATTGAATTAAAAATAAATAAAAACAGGTTATTTACTAAGCTCTTACTGTGGATGTATATCAGAGCACTTTGCTAAATGCTTTGCCTGAGGGATCCTATGTGTTCCTTTTATACTTTGTTTCTTAGAAGGCTTTCATGAGATATGAGAACAGAACACTGGACATTAGAGAAAATTTAGATTTTATTCATTTATTTTGCTTTTTGGGTCACACCCGGTGATGCACAGGGGTTACTCCTGGCTCGTGCACTCAGAAATTAGATTAATTGTAATCAAAGAAAACAGAATTCTCTAAGGGCAATGTGTTTGAGCAAGAACTGCAGGTAATAGACTGTTTCTAGCATTGTATTGCACCACTGCCCTGTTTTTCTGAAACTTTAGATGGAAGCATTCTTGAGCTCAACCCCAGAGTAAACCTGTTACTGCTGGAGAGGAGGAAGTAGAACAAAATGGGGACGGAGGGTGGGCCTAGATCACAGAAGACAAGTTCACCAACAGCCAAGCTAGACCAGTTCTTTCCAGCATCTCCCTGAAGAGGGGAGCTATGTTGGTGTCAGCCTCTGCCAATGTTGGGTTTCCTATATCAGCCATGGGAAATAGATTGATATATATGTACATAAGTGTATATGTATTGGTTTTTTGTCACCCCGACTGTGCTCAGGAATCACTCCTGGCAGACTTGGGGGACCTTATGAGGTGCTGGGGATCAAATCTGGGTTTACTGCATGCAAGGCAAGCACTCTCCCCACGGTACTATCTTGGCTGTCTTGGCCCTGAATAACTGTTACTATGTTCTGTGCCCTCTAGGAATTAAGACTGCTATCTTGGTTGGTGGTATGTCCACACAGAAACAGCAGAGGATGCTGAACTTCAGGCCTGAGATTGTGGTCGCCACCCCCGGCCGGCTGTGGGAACTGGTGAAAGAAAGACACCCGCATTTGAGTAACCTTCGGCAGCTCAGGTAAGAGATGGTGTCCTCCTTTCCCCATTTGAGGAAGGTCTGAGGTGACATGGTGTTTCTGGTCACCGTGCATGGTGGTACCTGCCAGTCTTTACAAAGCAGCCCCACTTTCATGTAAGTTAGTCGGAGCCCGATAGAGGTGATTGTTTTGGGCATGTCTGAATGTTTGTTCGTCTAGCTCTGTGTCTATGTCAGACTGACCTGGTTATGTGGGTCTCTTGGGATTTGCAGGTGCTTGGTGATCGACGAGGCTGACCGGATGGTTGAGAAAGGTCACTTCGCTGAGCTTTCAAAGCTTCTGGAAATGCTCAGTGACTCCCAGTACAACCCGAAGAGACAAACGCTTGTTTTTTCTGCCACACTGACCCTAACACATCAAGCTCCCGCTCGAATTCTTCATAAGAAACATATGAAGAAAATGGACAAAACGGCCAAACTTGACCTCCTCATGCAGAAAATTGGCATGAGGGGCAAGCCCAAGGTCATTGACCTCACAAGGAATGAGGCCACGGTGGAGACACTGACAGAAACCAAGATCCATTGTGAGACTGATGAAAAAGACTATTACCTGTACTACTTCCTGATGCAGTATCCAGGCCGCACCTTGGTGTTCGCCAACAGTATCTCCTGCATCAAACGCCTCTCTGGGCTCCTCAAAGTCCTAGATATCATGCCTCTTACCCTCCACGCCTGCATGCACCAGAAGCAGAGACTCAGAAACCTGGAGCAGTTTGCCCGTCTGGAAGAGTAAGTTGGAGACTTCTTTCTTGAGAGCCCCTCAGCCTAGGTGCCAGGATGGCAGAAGCTCCCTCAGTCAGGGGCCTTACCAGTAGCTGATGGCCTCTTTTGAGTAGCATGTGGGCTTACCCTTATCTGGTCCATTTGGATGTGCATAAGGGCTCATCCTTATCTGGTCCATTTGAATAAGGGCATTTGGTGGTGCCCCAGAGAAACTTCCATTAATGAGCAATGGTGACAATAATATATTGTTATTAACTATAATTAAGTACTGTGGATATATTAGCACATTTATTTGCTTTTAACATCCTTGAGAAGTAGATCAGATCACGGAACCAGACTGCCTGTGATCAGGACTTAGTTGCTTACTTCTTAGCTGGTTGGATATTTAACTTATCTTTGTTTCAGTTTTCTCATGTATAATAGAAGCTGTCACAGAACAGAATTAAGTGACTGTATGCATAAATTGTGCATGGAATGATAACCCAGGACATTTTTTTTTCTTTTTGGGTCACACCTGGCAATGCACAGGGGTTACTCCTGGCTCTGCACTCAGGAATTATCCCTGGCGGTGCGCAGGGGACCATATGGGATGCTGGGAATCGAACCCAGTTCGGCCGCGTGCAAGGCAAACGGCCTACCTGCCGTGCTATCGCTTCAGCCCCAACCCAGGACATTTAATACTTATCCTTTTTCTCATTTTGTAGATGATGAAAATAAGGTGTAGGAAAGCTTGTCAGCTTGCCCACAGTTTCTTAGCCTGAAAGTGACAAAGCTTGCCGTGGAGAAGCCTGTCAAACGCCACTTCTCATGCTGTCATTGTTCATGTACCTTGGGCCCAGACTAAGTCAGAGGCAGCAGGCTAGAAATTGTTGAGGTAATCACCTGGGAAGTTGAGCCAACTCTTCTGTTAGCTTTTGGGAAGTTGAGCCAACTCTTCTGTTAGCTTTTGTCAGGTTACAAGGCGATTCATTTCTGAGAGAAACTATCTTGTTTTCTCCCCCTTTGACTCTTGGTAGTGGTTTACCATCTAAGGATTTGACAGACTGGCCCATGTTTTAGATGTTTTTATTTTTCAGTTTCTTTGGACTGGCATGGGGATGGGGGGGTTGGGTTGTGCCTCTCAAAAGGTGCTCCCAGGGGCACCATTCAATGATTGTCAGACAATTGGACCAGCAGTTTTAGTGGAAAGGCTTGAAGATAGGGTGCTGCCAGGGCCCTGTGGTTTTGGGATTACCTGAATCACCCTGCAGGTGTTTGGGATCTCAAGGGCTGGCGAATGCTCCGGAACCACATGGTGCTATGGATCCAGTGAGACTTAACAACACCCCTCTCTCCCTCACCGCCCCCCCCCCCATCCTCATCCCCACTAATTATCTCTCAGGCCCTCATTGTCAGTTTTGTAAGTGAAGTGTTAATGGAACAACGTAAGCAACATATATATTCATCTATGGTTGCTTTTGCACTATTTTTAAAAAATGATACACTGTTTTTGCAGAAACAGACACTTTTCTCACAAAGCTGAAATTGTCTGACCCAGAGAAAGTTCTCTGATCATTTCTTGGAACAAGGTTTCAATGTCTCACAAACTGTGGTTCGCATCATATTCCCCTTCTCTGCCTTAGATTCAGAAAGGAGGGACCATAAAGAATCTAAAATCTAGGGGGTGTGGGTTTTGTTTTTTTTTTTTTTTTCCGGTATTTTTGGAGGAGTTGGGGGTTGTTTTGGGTCACACCTGGCTGTGCACACAATTTACTCTTCTTGTCTCTGTACTCAAGGATCACTCCCGGCAGTGTTTGGGGTATGTTTGTTGCAGGGGGGGCAGGGATTCATATGAAGTGTTGGATCCCCAGTGGTGCTTAGGGGCACTATAATCAGATGCCAGTAAGCAGGTGCCAGGGGTTGAACCAGGGTTAGTCATGTGCAGGGCAAGCACCTCACCCTCTATATGATCTCTCTGGCCCAGATTCTCAAGTTTTTAAGACATATTAAGGGCTTTTGGCTTTGGTCAAACTACCTATACATTAAGAAACATCTTCTGATACATATTGCTGAGAGCTTTCTATTTTAACCAGACAGATAGCAAGTAATGTAAGATCATTGGCTCCCATGCAGCTTGTGTCCCAGTAAGAGACAATTTCAATGCAGGTATATAGTATGACAAGTGGTGCTGAGTGCAAAAGTGCTCTGCAGGAAAGGAGACTGTGGACGTATAGTCAGGAAGTCTTCTCTAATGAGGTGAGATTTAAATAATGAAACAAAGTAAGGAAACATCTCTGAGGAAGACCCTTTAGGGTACTGCAAGTACAAAGGCTTGGCAGCAAGAACTGTTAGTTAAGTTTAAGGAAGAGGAAGAGGACCAAAGATATCAGTGGTTGGTGGGAAGTAAGTGGGAGGATGGTCAGAAAAGAGTACACGTATAGCTTCGTTCAGTTCGCTTGAGAGGGAGTCAGCGCAGAATGGCCGGTTGATGTCAGAGATCCCAGTTTGGTTCCTACTTCTTCACTGTATTGCCATGGGAGGTAAATCTCTGTGTGCCTTGGATTTTCCATTTGTGAAAGCAGAGTGTAGAGTGCTTGCAAGTATTGTATTGGTTCGAGTGCCTAGCAGGTGGTAGAATTTGATTAATGATCGTAATTAGTTACTATTAATGGGTTTTCTCCACAGCTGTGTTCTCCTGGCAACAGACGTGGCTGCTCGTGGTTTGGATATTCCTAAAGTCCAGCACGTCATCCATTACCAGGTAAGAATCCATTACCAGGATCCTGTAGTGCTCTCCCTGCGTTGAAATAGATGGGACTGTCACTGTCACTGTCCTCCCGTTGTTCATCGATTTCCTCAAGCGGGCCCAGTAACGTCTCCATTTTGAGACTTGTTGTTACTGTATTTGGCATATTGAATACATCACGGGTAGCTTGCCAGGCTTTGCTGTGCGGGCGAGATACTCTCAGTAGCTTGCCGGGCTCTCTGAGAGGGGCAGAGGAATCGAACCCGGCTCAACCGGGCTGGCTGCGCGCAAGGCAAACGCCCTACCGCTGTGCTATCGCTCCAGCCTGTTGAAATAGGGGAATTTTAATTTCCTTGTATCTTGGTTTTCTCATTTGTTGAACAACAGATATAATACCTATTTCTTAACTTCTTAAGGTAAAATTAATGCTTATGAAGACCACAGAAAGCCATGTGGCTAATCATAAGCTCTTAGGATATGGTAATCACTGTTACTGTAATATTAGTACATGCCAGGTGGTCCCATCAACGGCCAAGACCCAGAGATTATAACCCAGCTCTGCGGCTGCGCGACATCTTATTATCTCATTTTTACTTTGGAGAATCCGGCAGCCTACCAAAAGTACCCTGCCCGCATGGCAGAGTCTGGCAAATTTCCTGTGTCGTACTCAATATGCCAAATACCAGTAACAGTGATAGGTCTCATTCTCCTAGCCCTGAAAGAGCATTGAATATGGCTCTTCTAAAATCTCAGGGCTAGGAAGAAGGAGACGTTACTGGTGCCTGCTCGAGGAAATCAATGAATAACAGGATGATCGTGATCGTGATTAGTACATGCACTTAGTAAATATTAGCGTACAGTAGTGCTTAGAAGTATAAAGTCTGGGCCAGGTAGAGAACTCAGTGTGTTGATGAGCACCTACTTTGCATTCAGGAGGCCCAGGTTTGATCTCTTGCTTTGCATGGTTCCCTGAGCACTGCATGGAAAGATCCTTTTGCACTCCTGGTGTGGCCCAAATAAACAAAGGACAAAAGAATTGTGTGCTCCCAAACCAGATGTCCAGAGTCTGCAACCTCTAAAATTTCATAGTTGGTTAGTTTTGGACAGGTTAATTAGTATCTCTGGTTTCTACACCATTGTAAAATAGGAATACTTGTGTTCCCTATTCAATAGAATTATGTAAACTAATGAATCTAGAGGATTTGGCATAGTGTAAGTAGACAGTAAGTGGTAGCTGTTATGACATGATTACTACTCTAATACTGTTTTGCTTTTTAAATAATGTTTAGGGGGCTGGGGAGATAGCACAAAGGGCTGGGATTCATACTTGGTATAGGGAGCCCTAGATTCTCTGGTACCACTGGAAGTGGCTCCCAAGCACTGTCCAGTTCACCTCTGTAAGATTCCCCCAGTTTTTTAAGGGGCCCAGTTCAGTTATGCAAATTTTTCCTCTTTGGGAAGGAGGCTGGATTAGTCTTTCTGAGAAATGTCCAGATCAACATCAAGAGTCTTGGCCCCTAAGAAATACTAGATCCACTAGGGGGAATGAGTAATTAATGGAATGAATAATCATAACCATAATTTTAAAAGAAGATTTAGAACAGAGATTCCCAAACTTATTTTACTTACCAATCCTTTTCAGGGTGGAGCAGGGTAGGGGGGAAGGATTCAGCAACTCCCTGGAATTTTTTTTTTAAACAAACAGAATGCTTCCCACTTGCTCCCAGGGCTATTATGACTATCCCCAAGATATTCCCAAGGGGCTGTATCATCATCTGTCCAAAACACTGAGTTAAAGGATAGAAGATAAAATTGCAAAATTATAGGGGGCCAGTGAGATAATAAACAGATTAAGGCCCTTGACTTGCATGTGGCCAACCCTAGTTTGATTCCTAGGTCTTCATGTGGTCCCTAAATGCTGTCAGGAGTTAACCCTGAGCACTACTGCCCCTGGACCAGATATGACCTCCCAGTGTTTTCTTTTTCTTTTTCTTTTTTTAAAATTTTGGGCCACACCTGGCAGTGCTCAGGGCTTACTCCTGGCTGTGCGCACAAGAGATCACTCATGGCCGGACTCGGGTACCATATACGCCCATGGCAAGATTCGGAGTTGGGCCACCTGAGTGCAGGACAAGCACTTTAACAACTGTGCTCTCTCTCAAACCACCCCCCCTTTTTTTTCTTTAATTGCAAAATATAATGGCAAAGGAGTGAATTAACATCTATTTTGGTAGGTCAAGAAGTGGTTTCCAAATGATACAAAAGATTTGGGTATATGGAGGGTGGAAAATAAGATGAAAGAACATGTGAAGGTTGACTGACTTGAGTCAGGGAGGGGTTGTTTTGGAAGAGGAAATGGAGCTAAGGCTGAAGGATTGAGTTAGGGACGCTTCACTAAAGGTGCCCTGAATTACAGGTGAGTTGTTGGGCTTTGTCCAGTAGGTGAAGAAGAATGCCAATGTTTTTCTGGTACCATTCTGAACACTTCATTGCAGTGCTTTAAGTGCTGCATTGAAAAGGGCATAGAACACTCTTTAGTGAGAAGACCGTTATGCTTTGGTAGTGGTGTGTGCCATGAATGGAAGGGGGAAGGGAGGTTTGTTGCCACCCATACCACAGCTGTTGAGTGTGTAGAAGCAGCGTAGTCCAGAAGTGGGCGTGGTCTTTGGAGCTGAATTGTTTCCATTTGAGCTCAGCTTGTACCGCTTAGTTGGGTACCTTAGTGGTTAAGCTCTGTTTGTGTTTCCTGGTCTGTAACATGGATGATCATGAAAGCATCTTGTTATTGTGAGGAATATGCAGAATTCAGAGATTTGCCTGGCATATTGCCCATCAAATGTTGGTTATAATTATTGATTATCCATGCAGAGTTCATGAAGAACTAATGGGGTTAATTCTTAGTGGGGGATTATGGTCAAAGCTTTGGCCCAGGACAGTGACACTGGCAGCTTTTGGGTAGCTCAGGGGCAGAGTGGGAGTGGGCTAGAGACCAAATAAGAAGGGAAGCCATTAACTGAGTGGCTAATAGGAGCCTGAACTGGGGCCGGGATTGTGGGAGAGAAGAGGCTGCATATTGGGAAAGGACATTTTGGACGTGGGCCAAAGCAGAAAGGCTGGATCTAAGACATGAGTGAGGATCCTAGCTGCCTGGCTGTAGGAGATTCCTGGCCTTGAGGGAAGAGCAGGAGCAGTGTGTGATTGTCCCTGGTTGACCCTAGTTTCTCCTTTACCAGGTCCCGCGCACCTCTGAGATTTATGTCCACCGAAGTGGTCGAACTGCTCGTGCCACCAATGAAGGCCTCAGCTTAATGCTGATTGGGCCTGAAGACGTGATCAACTTTAAGAAGATTTACAAAACCCTCAAGAAAGATGAGGACATCCCATTGTTCCCTGTGGAGACAAAGTACTTGGATGCAGTTAAGGTAGAGTTGAAGCCCAGAGGTAACGAAAGGCAGGCAGGCTTAGACCTGCTTCCTCACCTTGCTGGGAGATTCTGGCAGAGTAGCCCTTGCCAGTTAAGCGATGGTTCTGCCAACCGTTCACAAGAAGTTTCACTTAACAAGTAGGATTTGCTTTATACCTAGCTGATGGGGGGGAAGAGTGAATGACCGAAAGTGGAAAATTCATTCCTGAGCCCTAACTTAACTGTGTGTTCCTGAAGCCTTCACTGTCACTGCCCTCCACTGGACTGGGGCACTAGAAAATGGACATCCATTCAGACAGTTGTAAAGAATGAGGTCAGCCTGTCATCCTGAAGCCTGTAAGAAAGGTTTGTCACGTTCTTAAAACAAAGACCAGTAAGTCCTGCCTTTGGGGTTTTGTCTAATAACCAAACAGATGTTCACTGTGTCCTTGTTCACAGTGGAGTATATGTCACAAGTACCCAAGCAGGACCGGTCCTCTCTTAGGAGGTCGCAGGCCGAGCCCTTGTCAGTGGAGCTCTATGCTTCTGGTGGGCTTGTGTTTGTGTTGGTAAGAGATGAGGTGTCCCCAAACCTTCTGCAGGCAGGACAGGGAGAGATGTGGAATTCAAGAAATCAAGGCAGCAACCTAGGTAGCAGGTGTGTGGCTATGGCTTAAACCCTCCTGCCACCTCCCATTGTCTGTGTGTGACCCTCCATGAGTGCCACAACAGGAAGGAAGGAAGGAAGGAAGGAAGGAAGGAGAAGGAAGGAGAAGGAAGGAGAAGGAAGGAAGGGTGTTTGTTGTTGTTGCTATTCTTAAACATTGAGAAAGCAGAACCATGAGACAGTTGTTGAAGGATGATTGGTTCTTTTGACTCGAAATAAAGGTAAACCCGGGCCAAAGAGACATTGCAATATGTAGGGCACTTCCTTGCACATAGCCAATCTAGGTTTGATCCCTGGCACCCCATGTGGTCCCCTGAGCACCTCTCGGAGTGATTCCTAAGCTTAGAGCTAGAACCTGGGGACCATATGGGATGCCAGGGACTGGCTACGTGCCAGGTAAGTGCCCTACCCACTATTACTCTGGCGCCTCAGGTATATTCTTAGGAAAGCCAATTCTTTGAAATCACATGGTGATGATTGCCCTCTGCTTTTATCAGGAGCCAGGAAAAAAAATGTTGATGGTAGCCAAGCTGTATTTCACTTGGCATTAATAGGAGCATTTTGAAATACACAACATTATTATTATTTTATTTTATTTTATTTTATTTTTTGGCCATATCCAATTGTGGCTCTTAATCCTGGTTCTGTGATTGGAAATCACTCCTGGCAGGACTTGGGGAACCATATGGGATGCCTTACATGAGGATTGGCTGCATTAAGCAAGCGCCCCCCCTGCCAGACTCTCACAGCATTTAAAAATACACAGCGTGTGAGATTTTACTTCATGGAGACTTGTTTCTGTCACGTGAACACTCTCTGTCCTTATTCCCAGAGTCGAATTCATCTAGGTCGACAGATTGAGAAAGCTGAGTATCGGAACTTCCAGGCTTGTCTGCACAACTCTTGGATTGAGCAGGCGGCAGCTGCCCTTGAGATTGAGCTCGACGAGGACATGTATAAGGGTAAGTGGGCTCAGCGGGAATCGAGGAAGGGTACCTTCGGCGCTTTCTGTCCCTCCCCACTACCCTCGTTTGTCCAAATCAGCAGCATAATCTTCTTTCTTTGTGACAGGCCCTAATCCCAGATTAGCCTTTGTTTTCTCCAAATGTTTTTATTTATTTATATATTTATTTATTTTTTGCTTTTTGGGTCACACCTGGCGATGCACAGGGGTTACGCCTGGCTCTGCACTCAGGAGTTACTCCTGGCGGTGCTCAGGGGACCATATGGGATGCTGGGAATTGAACCCGGGTCGGCCACGTGCAAGGCAAACGCCTTACCTGTTGTGCTGTCTCTCCTGCCCCTCTCCGAATGTTTTTGCCAGAATTCCCCACCTGCTTTCCTTGCGTATAGGAGCAGTGGTGCACAGTTGCGCAGCTGAGACTGCTTGGTTTGAGCTATCGCGGATCCATTTCCTTAATTGGCTCTGAGGACCATCAGGTTGCTTGGCCTCTCACCATAGGTTGACATCGCCTGCATTGCCAGTTTATGAATAAAGTACCTACCTCATGGAGTTGTTGCCTCGATGGCTTGAGATAATGAGTGTCCGAGTTTACAATAGTGCCTGGCAAGTTGACAGTATTATACTTGAAATTACTATTGTTACCACTATATCCTCTTCTGAGCAGATAAGTACTTCAATTCTCTCATTTGCTCTTCACAGGCTCATGACAGTGTGACAGGAATTACCCTTTACGGGAAGGAGCAGAAAAATAGGCTTACCAGCAGGTGTTTCCTGAACCCCTTTCGACCATGGCCAGAGCCTAAGAAATCGGGAATTAGTCTGTAGGGTCCCCGCTCTCGTAAAGTCTACAAAGTGGTCGAACCACGTTGAGAATTAACAGGCAAGAATTAGGTCCATTGCTTTTTGTACCCCACAAGGGCAGCTCAAGTAAATTGTTGGCATCTCTTGGTGACAAAGCCCATTCAAGAGACATACTTCTCTCTGCTCTGCATGGCAATCGTGAACCACGCCAGTGGGCTTAGTAATGGTGGACAGGGTCCCTTGGCAGCTCAGACTTGATTTTATGCACAAGTCTGTTATTTCCCTTCTTAACCTCTGCAGGTCCCATACCAGTGCTGGTGGGTGTAAAGTCAAGGAGTAAGGACAGATAACCCTAAATATCCATCCTAGACCGTTAGAAGCTAGCTAGCACCAGCTTCTTCAGCAAACTTGCACACCATCACCTCAAAAGTTCAAAACCTTTTTTATCACCAGTATCATCCTTCAGTGGAGACCAAAAAATGTTTCTGTGTATCATCATAATTCAGATCTCTTTTGTGTTTTCAAGGAGGAAAGGCTGACCAGCAAGAAGAGCGTCGGAGACAGAAGCAGATCAAAGTCCTGAAGAAGGAGCTGCGCCACTTACTCTCCCAGCCCCTGTTTAAAGATGAGCTGAAAACCAAGTATCCGACTCAGTCTGGCAAGCCACCCGTGCTCGTGTCTGCCCCCCGAAATGGTGAGTCTGCTTTGAGCTGCCTCTCCAAACAGAAGAAAAAGAAGCCGCCACCCCCAAGGGTACAGCCTCAGGATCAGCCTCAGCCAAGTACAAGTGCAAATTAACTGGCCCCAGGTCAGCCTGTTCATCCATTTCTCTGGTGATAGGGAAAACCTCCTTCCCACTTGCCTTGCACTCCACTATCTTGGTTTTAAAGAAACGTCCTCTCTCCCATGCTCCTGTCCGTAGTGGGCAGATTTGTGGTGTGTTTGGAGTAAGAGTTCTCTGTAGTGGCAAGTATTTCTGTGTTTCAGTGTTTACAGCTACTTGTATGTTCGAGTCAATTTCCACAATAAAAAAAATAGTTAGACCTGGCTTACTGTGCCGTTTTCCATAGCACATGGGTAGAACAGGGCTACCGTTTTCATCATGAATTCACCAGGCCAGCCCAATGCTCTGGCATCTAGACACAGGGAGATGCAGGCCTAGTCCTCTGTAGATGATGGCATCTCATTCTGCTGAACAGTGGGTAGAGCAGGAGGCTAGAAGGTATGGAGATCATTTCTGCTGGGCTCCTAATAAGGTATTCCTTATTGGGGGCAGGGCACCCCTGGCGATGCTCAGGGCCTACTCCTGCCTCTACACTAAGGAATCACTGCTGTCAGTGTTTGGGGGATGCTGGGGATTGAATCTGGGTTGGCCATGTGCAATGCAAGCGCCCTACCTGCTTTACTATTGCTCCAGCCCCCTCGTAACAAGGTATTCCTGCTTCTCCCCACAGTAAAACTCTTCCCAGCTTCTTTGCTCCAGCTCTTTCTCTTGCTTGCAGCTCATAGCATTATCTGAGCCGCCTTGGAGTGGACAGGAGATTGCTGTCCTTGGGTTCAGAGAGCACAGGGCTTCCCTAACATCATGGTGCTGACATGGGTATGAGCCGGCCGGCTTGTGCGGCATGGAGAACCTGCACACTAGCTGGTATCTCCAGCCCCTTGTCTGCATTCTCCTCCACCAAGGGTAGAACCAGCTGCTGCCCACAGTCCCACAAGTCACTCGTCCTGTGTTTTGCACAGGCTTTTCCCTGATTGTCATCCCCATCCTAATGCAGGCTGTGTGTGCTCGAAGTCCTGACCCCGGGAGGTAAAGTGTTCCCCACAGGCTCCCATAGTATACCCATGCTCTTGGGGTAGAGGGGCCGGGGGCAGGGGTCTCAAGGCTGCTTGCTTCCCCCTTGCAAAATGCTTCGGTGCTGGTGAGGGTTGGTGAGAATGTACTGACGGAATGAATGATCTGGTGCTACCCCAACTGTTTCTGCCAGTCTGAATGAGTGATTACAGCTATTTCTGTACGACCAAATCTGAGCTCCTGAACAGGTGTTCAGTAGGCACAGCCTGGCTACGTGCATCAGGGATCTATGGATCTAGAGAGGGCACTTGAGGGGACTCGGATCCAGAGTAATCTGATTCCCGTCAGCATCACCAGGCACTGTTAAAATACTGGTATATACTTTGTTTAACCAAAGTCTCTGAGACAGGTCTGAGTTGAGGAAGCTGATGCTGAATGTTCAAGATGTGCTCAGGATTACACAGTAACCTAGTGACAGCGCCCAGGTGGACTTCTTCATGGACCTAGGGCTATTTCAGAGGTTTGCTTCAGTTCTTAAAGAGAATATATGACCATAGAGTGTCACTGTGAACTGGAGAAGACAAGAAAGCAGAAGAAAGTTGCCCATTTGTGAGGTCAGACACTTGACCACAGTCGAAGGACCACTGCATTTTCCAGATAATGCAGCCACAGTACAAACAGGATCCGTGTCTCTTAGCACCTGAGCCTGTGAGAGGCAAGAGGTCAAGCAGAGATCTGTTGAGACCCATTGACATTCTGCCTTTGTTCGCTAACCTCACATTCTGGTGTTGGCATAGTGATACACTAAGGGGGTGGACTTTAACAGACCTGCCTCGTAGGCAGTTCTGGTCTCTGATAACAGGAGGTGAAACTCTGCTGAGCGTGAGGGTCCTCCAGCCCAAGGGTAGGTAGGTAGTGTCGGATCTTCCCCTGACATAAGTCCTCCCCGCTGCCTCCCAATTTAATACAGGTAAGCCTCGCAGAGGTGCTGTGAAACCGGAAATCAGGGCAGATGTCGTGGTGGGAACTATTTGACTAGTAGGAAATGTTTCCATAGGGCCTCGAGGCTGCTTCTTGGTGAACCACAGCCCCGTGTGGGAATGGTTTGGTTCCCGGACTCGTCACCCTTCCCTGCCTGCTGTTTGGGAAGCTGCTGCCTGCCCCACTGGCACAGTCCCCTCTTTTTGCAGTGGAAGGAGTATTGAGGTAGGGGCTTCCCATCACCAGAATACTTAGTACGTGTCTGGTCTTGTACTTATTTCACACAAATGGTATTGTTCCATTTTAATGGCAAATACTGATAGTAGAGACTGTTTCCATTTTACAAATGAATTGTGGCTTACAGGTGAAGTGACTTAGCCAAAATGACACACAGAATTGATCCTAGTCAGTCTGACTCCAGTCACCCACCCATCCCTTGTGGGTGTGTGCGTGCGCGCTCTTAAAATAGCAAAAAGCAAGAACATTTTGCTTCCCCTCCCCCCCTTGGTACTAAATATTCACATTGCTCTATAAATTTCCTTTGGAAAGAAAGTAGTAAGTGTGCAGTTGAAAGATGTGCTGTTAGACCAACATCCCTTCCAGCTTTTGGTCTGAAAGGAGGGGTGAAAAGTTTGATGGCATTGTGACCAGCTTCTGTAAACAAGTTAACTCCTGTGAATTTCCAGATTTTAACCATTTATACCGAAATTTCACTAAAGTCTGGCACTCCTGTTCTCCCTAGTGCTTTCTCTCAGGGACGAGAGCTGGGGGGAGTGGACTGGCCAGTGGGTTTGTAGAAGGGGGAAAGCAGAGGGGAGGACCATAAGAATACTAGGCCTGCCTCCCTCGGACTCCTGATTGTAAACCGGTAAGACTTTCTCTGCGAAGAGGGTCCCATATGAGCACTGTAGGCGTGGAGCACTACCTAGGCACATTTCAGAGAAGAATCTCTTGGGAGGTCTACCAGAGTATTGAGGTAGGGGCTTCTAACAGCGCTGCAGTTTAGAAACGGGGTTATTCTGGTAGCATTCAACACGTTCCCCCACCTCTTCCAGTGCACTTGTCACAGAACCCAACGCTCCTATCCAGAGTCGGGTAGGTCACAATGTAGAGATCTGGTCAGCTTTATGTTCTTTGGAAAGTGACAGTCACTTAGCCTGTGCTCTTGGATCTAAGCTTGAGATGTGCGCAGAATGAGAAACTGCTTCCTACCTACTAACCCTGAGAACTGTGTTCATGAAGGCAGAAGAGTGATAGAAATCCAATGTTGGTGTTCAGGGACTTGGCGGTTGGCTGCTGAGTCTGCCTGGTGCCCAGAGTGGCACCACAGCACCACAGATTGTAATGAGTCCCCGGCAAACCTGTGAGAAGGCCTGTGATGAAGCAGCCCATAGGGCACTTTCCCACCCCCACCTGCTCCGTTTCTGCAGAATAAAGGAGCTTACTAGAAGTGGCCCCGGCTCGTCGGGGCTGTTGGGCTTCCTGAAATACCAAGGTGGGGAGCTTTTGAAGGGGCACGTCCAGGTGAGTGACTGAGGAGGGCCTGGGCCAAGGCTTTCGGCTGCCAGGTCATTTCTACAAAGAAAATCTCCCACCTGCCAGTTTTTTTCATCTTCCTCTGGCCTTTGCCACCAAACCTGTCACAGCACATAGATTGGGAAGAAGTGGACACGCGGGTAGAGGGGATATTGCAAAATGCCCATGGTGTTCACCTGGGGTCTGCGCCGGTGTCGGTTTCTCAACTTGGAGGATCTGGTGGGGACCAAACCCTAGTCCTGCTCTCTGCAGGTGGGGCTGATGACAGAGCCCTAAAGAACTACCCTCCAATAGCAGGTGTTTTGAGAGGTAGCGGGGTTTGCCATTAACAGCACAGTCTTGATGCTGAAGGCGCGTTTCTAGACTTTGGCATCAGTGAGTCTCTTTCCTCAAATTACCCGGAAATAAGGAAATGTCATCATGTGTGTTTGGAACGACACTGAGACCCTCATTTTCAAGAGGGCTTCAACTGGCCATCAGAGTCAGTCAGCCACCAAAGTTCAGTCCAGCAGCTGATTGGACTTGATTTTTCTTTTTATAGTCATGATAGTTGACCTTAAGCTTTTTCTCCTGTACACAGAGGCAGGTGCCTCTGGTGACAAGAAATCAGGGGACCTCGTTTTTATGCAGCAGTCAGTAACCTTTTCCATGTGACAGGCCAGACCGGAGAAAGGAGGCGGCTCCCCGAGTCCCAGGGAACCAGGAGCTGAAACAAGGCTCTGGCTTCCAACTCAGAGCTAGGAAGCATTCGCTCTTCTTTGGCGATAAATGACAAAACGTCGCCAAGTTATCACAGTCCATGGTGAGCAGGCCTCATTCCCAGTGGCTTTGCCCAGAAAGCTGTACGTTTCTAACTACAGTCTAAATCGCTTAAAAAATTGAAAAGCCAGAATGTTCCGTTCAGAATGCAGTCCCGTTAGGTAGGTGACAGGCGCCACTGCGTGGCCTAGAAGTAATCAACGTTTATCAGCTGCGTAAAGGATGTTGTAGTGGGATGTTTTATAGAGCAGGTAAACGGAAGGGCTGGCCGCCTCGGGGAACACGTGGTGGTTCAGGGCTGTGTCCATCTCGTCCACGTACTCCACCTGCAGGGCGATGTTCAGCGCCTGGGACAGGGCCGTGATCTGGATGTGGTCACACTCCATGGCCATGGGCTCTACTTCCTGCAAAGCCCCAAACAAAAACACCCAGTTTAGGAGTAAAGCCTGGCAGGAGACAAGTGAGCTGTATGGCCCTGGCGTCTGGGGTCAGAGGTCAGAGGTCAGGGCATCTGTTCTCAGAAATAATTTTCACAACAGCCCTGAGCTAGGTGCTGAGAGCCGTTTCACAGAGATCACCAGAACTGTAAGGTTTGAGTTTGAGTCCAGGTGTTTGGGTGTCAGCCCCATCAAACAGCCGGTCAGAGACACGCACCACCTCTGTCCTCCACTAAGGTCTCTAGGAGAGGGACAGGAGTAGCTTCCAGGGGTGGGTGCAGACTTCCCAAAGCCTGAGGCTGCGGGCCACCTACATGAGTGCAGAAGTCTTTGATGTCCATCTCCTCGTCGATGAAGTGTCGGAAGAAGTCTGCGCGGTTCTTGATGAAGGCAGAGGTGAGCAGACGCAGGAACTGCACGATGCGGTCTGAAGAGCTCTGATCATTGAACACCTTCAGCAGGCTGGACACGGAGCCGTCCTTCTCCACCAGCTCCACCACACTGTAGAACTGAACCAGACCAGGTTTCACCACTAGTCCTGTCCCCATCCCTTGACCCTCCCCTGATCCCCCATCCCACCCCCCCACCCCCCCATGGATTCCTCAGTTTCAGATTCTCAAATTGAAGGATGGAGTAAACTTGAGATCCCATGGGAGTTAAGTTACAGAGTTACACAGCCTTGGGGACCTGAGCCCAGGGCCCTGTCTGCGGAACAGCAGCCGAGGGCTTAGTCACTGGGATGGACTGAAGGGGACCAGAGGTTTTTCCAGCGTGAGACCAACTGCCCCACAGAAGGTGTCTTTTCCCAGAGGAATAGCAGGGAGTCCCCGGGTGCCCTGTGTCCCATCCCCCCCCGTCCCCCCACGCGCGGGAAGCAGCAATAAGGGCAGAGCCGCAGAGTGGTGGGTGGCGGGGGTTCCAGCCCGTCGGCTCCCTCCGGGCCCCACCGCAGACCTGCTCAGCTCACTCACAGCGTTAAAGAAGTTTCGGAACTTGTGCTCCTCAAAGCCAGCAGCCAGAAGGTCGTTTGGGGTCTGCAGTACGTGCTCTTTGAACCTAAAGCAGGGGGAGACTCAGGCAGTTGCTATCAGCCGTTTCTTCCACTCACCCTGTCACAATACGCAGGGCTTCTCTGCCCTCCAGGGTCCATGCTGACCTTCGCTCCCCACCATGCATGAGCCCTGGAGAACTGCTCGACCCACCTCCCAGGGGAAACTGAGGCAGTCTCCTCTCAGACATGCTCACTGCCTCTCATGGGCCCTCGACTGCCCCTTGTTCCAGGGGGTCCTGCACAGTGTCACCTGTGTGCCCTGGGCAGTTGCAAGGATCTTTCCTGCACAGGACCACAGCACTGCCCTCAGGAGGTGCCCTCTCATCCCTACAGCCTCGCAGCCTGCCTGCCTCCCTCCCCCCCCAGACACCCCCTGGGTTAGGGATGTGTTTCTCTGTGTAAGTGCCCCAGGCTCAACAGCCACCATTCCAAATGGTCGCATGACGGGGATTGTATTCAGGTGAAGGATCCGCCTGCCTTCTGTATTTCCAGACTGTGGAGACAATCTCTGTGTTTTAACAGAACACGCTAGTCTAACCTGGTGGCTCTCAGCCAAGGTTGACTTTCCCCTCGGGAGATACAGGCAAGCCAGAGATATTGCAAGTTCAGTTTGAGACCCCTGCAGTCAGACCAGGATCATAATAGAGTGGTCCTCAGAAGCAGCTGATTACGTGGTTTCCCAGTGCATAGGAAAGTGTGTTGGGCTATTCTGCGAAGTCCTGCAGATACAGTGGCACTGGCCAAGTCTGCCCTTAATCCTGTGTTGTCCTATCAACAAAGTTCTCTGCATCCTCACCAGGGGAGGTTCCTGTCCCCTTTACCACACTGCCAGCCACAGCACCTTCTCTAGATGCTCTTGGGACACCAGCAATTCAGTGTGCTCAGGCTCCATTTAGAGTGCCCGTTCTCTTGCTGATTCCACATCTTATTTTTTGCATTTGTTTTCGTTTGGGGGCACACCTGGCATTGCTCAGGGCTTACTCCTGGCTCTGTGCTCAGGGATCACTCGTGGTGGTGCCCAGGGAACCATATGGGGTGTTGGGGATCAAATCCAGGTCAGCCATGTGCAAAGCACGTCCCCTCCCCACTATACTGTCAGTCAGTTCTTTTGAATTCCCAGTTCTGAACTTAATTGTTTCCATGTGGGCATGTAACTCCCTCCATGGAAGTTGTCCATGAGAGCTAAAACGGTTCTTTCCAACTTCTGTTCAGGTTGACAGTTTGATGAATGGATGTTTTGTTTTTTTTGGGGGGGGGGGTCGGGGCTGGGGGTCACGCCCAGAGATGCTCAGGATTTATTCCTAGCTCTGTGCTCAGGAATCACTCCTGACAGGGCTCGGGGCACTACACACGGTGCTGGGGATCAAATCTAGGTGGGCTGTGCCCCAAATGACAGATGTTCTTGATTTGCTTGAGCGGGCCCAGTAACGTCTCCATCGTCAGACTTGTTGTTACTGTGTTTGGCATATCCAATACGTCACGGGTAGCTTGCCAGGCTTTGCCGTGCAGGTGAGATACTCTCGGTAGCTTGTCGGGCTCTCCAAGAGGGACAGAGGAATCGAACCCTGCTCAGCCGGGCTGGCTGCGTGCAAGGCAAACACCCTACTGCTGTTCTTAGTGGAATCTAAAAAATAAATTTTTTTTTTTTCCCGTCTCATACTTGAGCGGTATCACAGCCTCTGAGAGCTGGAGCCTTAGGAGATGTGATTCCCAGATAATAAGGCCTACAAGTAGGAAGTCTTGGCCGGAGCTTAGTACAGCGGATAGGGCATTTGCCTCTCACGCTGCCATCCCGGATCCCTAGCATTCCTTGAGCACCACCAGAAGGAATTCCTGAGTACTGAGCCAGGAGTAACTCCTGAGTACCACTGGGGGTGACCGCCAAACCAACGAAAAAAGTGGCAAGTTTGGGAACTCCTCCATCTGTGTGGTCTATAGGATGCATGTGTGTCACAGGCCTGAAAAAGCCTGAGTTCTCATCCGTCTCTGTCACGGCTCCCGGGCGACCAGCTGCTCTGCCCAGGGCAGCCTGACTTTGAAAGGACTTTTCTTGAGGGGTATCTCAAGAGAGGACTTCAGGTTCAAGTGAATGCTGGACGCAGACGTGGTGCCTGGGCTTAGTGCATTTAGAGCACCAGCAGGTGAGCTGGCATCACCTGAAACCTTTGCTTCACCCTCCAGCCTGCTGCGCTGGCCTGTCCCAAGCGTCAGTCTGTCCTTCAGAGCTTTCCAGGCAGAAACTGATTCTCCACTGGGCAGGGGTGGGCGTCCTGCAGCTGGCCAAGCGCAGTAAGCTGCGGGCCCACACTTTGGGAGCATCTGGAGACGTTTCTGTCGCAGGTGAGGGTGGGAGTATGTCCCAGCCTAGCTCTCCCCAGGGGACCAGAGGCGGTGGGCACTGCCACTCAGTGGAACCCCTCTGGCTGTGTCAGCCTGCTTTGCTTCCCGTGACAGCCACCCACCATCACCATCGCGTTAGTCCTGAAGGCTGGAAAGTGCCCCCCCCCCCCCAAAAAAAAGGCTGTCTTATTCCATCCTCCTCTTTCCTCCTCTCCCTCCCCCCCCCCCGCACACCCTCCCCCACTTTTTGGACCACATCAGGCGGTGCTCATGGCTTCTTCCTGTCTCTGTGCTCAGGGGTCACTTCTGGCGAGGCTTGGGGATCATACGGGGTGCTGGGACTTCAGGTGACTGCATGCCAGACAAGTGCCTGAACCCTTTCCGATCCCATCTGCAGTCTCTTACCTCTCCCACCTCTGCCGCGGCAGGCAGTGGGTGTCCCCTACTGTGGACATCGCTGCCTGGTGGCCTTAATCTGCCCCCAGAAAGATCCTCTGGGAGCACCTAGCCGGTGAGCCCACCCGTGGCCCCAGGGCCCACTCACTTGAGGATTTCTCGGCTCTTCCCCAGCAGTGACTCCAGATAAGAATAGCCCAGGGCCCGGTAGAAGCAGTTCCCGTCCCCCTTGGTCTTGCGGATCGCGGTGAACCTTTTGCTGAGTTCCTGTAGGAGAAACGGGCCAGGGTCGGTGGCGGCAGGGGCCCCCACGGGAGCGGCGCCTGCTGGTCTCTGTCCTCTAAGGCACGAAACTACGCAGAGGGCAACCTGTCCCCAGCGGTCCCTGCCCTCTGCCAGCTACAGCGTCGGATAGGAGGGGTGGGGTGTGACCAGACTTCAGACTGGGCACGGCTTCCAGCACAGAGGGTGAGGTGTGGGGGGCTGGGCCCTAGGTCCACTTAGCCATCTGGCCAGTGCTTCAAACACATCACCCCCTCCTGTCTCCTGACCCGGAGTTTCCTTTGCTATCTGGGGGGGGGGGGGGGGGGGGCAGCGGTCAGGGCTTCTGACCACCAGGCATGGTTCGCTAGGGGCCAGAGTGTCCCTGTGCCTAGCTGTTACAAAACTGGAAGACCTAGAGACGGGTCGGCAGGAAAGGACAAGTGTGTCCCTCGAACCCTATTCTCATCTCCAGAGATGGCATCCGGGACCTGAGAGTCTCCAGGCCTTGCTCCTGCCCTGGAAATAATCCCTGTGGCTGCACCAGGGTCACAGCCCCTGGGATAAACCATGAGGAGAAGCGGAGATGGCTGCATGTCCATGAAGGCAGAAGGGAGGTAGGGCCAGTGGCATTTTTCTGGGGGCAGAGAAGGCCATTCCAGTACTGGGCTGTTTCCTCAGCTGAAAGATGGGGATAAAAAGCCCCGATTCCCCCAATACTGGGAGCACCCCTAACAGCTCGCCTGGGGCACAAAGGCATTAAGAAAAACGGGGCAGCCAGCGTTGACAGTGCTGGCCTTGCACGGTCAACCCAGGTTCCATCCCCAACACCCCATCTGGTCCTCGGAACCCCACCAGGAGTGAGCCCTGAGCAGATCCAAGCGTGTCCCCAAACAAACAAATCGTAACAGGATTTCTCCAGGTCAAGGCCCAACATTCAGTGTGGGGGGAGCCCTTGCCTTTGCTCAGGGCTCGGGTTCCATCACGGAGCCAGCCGGCTTTGCTTTCAGAGCATTACCCGCTTCTCGGTGACCAGCACCCTCCCGCCAAGTGCCGCCTCCTCCAGGGTCCTCACCTGGATTTTCCTCTGGTAAATCCTGTTTTCAGGGTGATCCCGAAGAATTGAGAGGATGTCACATTTTTCTGATATTAGGTTGAAGGATGTTTCACTCTGAAAGAGGAAGCAGACTAGCTGGGACCATGGTAAAGGGCACGGAGAGGATGGGCCCCAGACAGGATGTATGACATAGGGTTTCACCTTGTAACCACACAGAGTCAGGGCACAAACCTGGGACCTTTCTGTTAGAAGTTGCCCATCGCCGGACTAACGCTGCCACGCCCCCTTTCCTCCCCCCAACGGTTTCTGAGGTCAGGTCTGCAACGAACACTCACACAGGCTGGAAATAGAGGGTCCAGGACCCTGTACCCCCCTCACAGCCTCTTCCCAGCAAGGCTGCCAGATGCAGGAATTAACACACGGAGTGATCACGGAGCAGCAGGTGAAGACAGCACCCCCTACCTGCGACAGCTCAGAATGCAGCCCAGAGACCCAAGCCTGTGGCCCGCAGGGCTGCAAAGGAGAGTGGCCGAGATTAGTACCAGGAATTTTGCTCCATGGCTTGGAGGCCAGCCACACGTGCTAGGGGAAAAGGAAACTCAGATAGAGAAAAGGTAAGGTAAAGGTAAAGGCCCTCCCGTTGATCGTCGATTTGCTCGAGCGGGCCCAGTAACATCTCCATTGGAGACTTTGTTGTTACTGTGTCTGGCATATCGAATACTCTCGGTAGCTTGCCGGGCTCTCCGAGAGGGGCGGAGGAATCGAACTCGGGTTGGCCATGTTGGCCGCTTGTAAGGCGAACACCCTACCTGCTGTGCTATCGCTCCAGCCCAGTGGGTAGGGCGTCTGCCTTGCACAGATAGAGAAGAGAACACCAAATAAAGGGTGTTGGGAGGATTCTCCCAGGATGGGAGAAGCATGCTGAAAGTAGACTATAGACCGAACATGATTGTCACCTATTGCCTCTTTTGCAGACCACAACACCCAATAGGAGAGAGAGAACAAAAGGGAATGCCCTGCCACAGAGGCAGGGTGGGATGAGGGGGATGGGGGGTAGGAGGGATACTGGGATCCGTGGTGGTGGGAAATGGGCACTGGTGGAGGGATGGGTACTTGATCATTGCATAACTGAAACCCAAGCACAAAAATTTGTAAGTCTACAGCTGTACCTCATGGTGTTTCACTAATAAAAAATTTTAAAAAAAGTGTCAGGGAGGAGGGAGGGTAGCCCGACCGGCACACAAACTGCACATCTCCGTTCCTTTTTTGGGGGGGGAGGTCTCCCGAGTAGTTCCCGGGGGTGGGGGGCAAGGCCGTTTCTGGTGATGCTCTGCCAGTGCGGGGAACCGGTGAGTGCGAGGCCCCAGGATCCTGCCCTGCTGGGTACTCCAGGGCCACCCGACGGTGCGTGCAGCCTCGGGGTCACAGCTGGTGGTGCAGGTGGGTGCACGTGTGCGAACACAGGCCAGCTACAAGCTGGCTGCTGGGGTGGGTTTCACGTCCTCCACTGCTGAGCCAGGACCGCCATCTCTTCAACCAGCCTCATCTCCCACCTTATATTTTCCCCCGTGCAGCCTCAGCGCTCGGGGGTGGCAGGAGCACCCGAACCTTCAGCCTGCCCGGGCGTGGCTCCCGTCTCGGCACGCATGTCACGTAAGAAAGCAGCATGTCGTTGAGACGAGGCCAGTATCGTGTCATCCCCTACAGCCCTGACATACAGTCGCCGGGCCCCAAGCACAACTGGGAGGAGGACGCCGCCAGGGGCCAGGGGTAACAGAAATGCACTTTCCACTGGCCGGCCAGCAGCTCTGATGGGCGTGTTGCAGGGGCGTCCCACGGCCACCATCACTCTCTGTCCCCGAGGCCCAGGCCAGTGGCCGCTCAGCCTTGTCCCTGGCTAATGTCCATGCCGCCCATCTGCTCAGAGAAGCCTTTGTCATTGGCCTGTCCCCATCCTCCAGCGCCCCTCACTCCAGAAGAGTCCCCATGGGGTGATTGCCAACGTGCATTTGTCCCTCCCCGTATGGCAAAATACACATTACACAGTGTCCCCTATCAGCCTGGGAGCTGGAGTGATAGCACAGTGGGTAGGGCCTTGGCGTTGCATGCAGCCGACCCAGGTTCGATTCCCAGCATTCCCATATGGTCTCCTGAGCACCGCCAGGAGTGATTCCTGAGTGCAGAGCCAGGAGTCAGCCCTGAGCATAGCCTGGTGTGACCCAAAAAGCACTGCACTGCACTGCACTGCCCTCCCGTTGTTCATTGATTTACTCAAGCGGGCCCAGTCTCCATTGTGAGACTTGTTGTTACTGTGTTTGGCATATCGAATACGTCACGGATAGCTTGTCAGGCTTTGCCATATGGGCGAAATACTCTCGGTAGCATGGTGGGCTCTCCAAGAGGGGCAGAGGAATTGAACTTGGGTCGGCCATGTTGGCCACTTGTAAGGCAAACAAAAAGCAAAAAAGAAAAAAGAAAAAAAAAATCAGCCCGTTGGCTATGCAGACACCAGCATGCGGCCGACTCACCATCCACTACCACTTCCAGAACGTTCATCTCCCCAAACTCCACCTCGACCCGTGAGACACCAGCTCCCAGCTCCCCTGCTTGCCCCTGCACCCCATGTCGGCATCATCCTCCCCTCTTGGGCATAGGCCTCTCCAAGGACCTTGCATGTGTCCTGTTGTAAAATGGAGATGTTTGGGGCTAGAGTCGGGAGATCAAACAGCGGCCAAGGCACTTGTTTCGCAAGTGGCCACCCTGACACCCCATATGGGGCCCCTGAAACCTTGCAGGAGTGTTCCTTGAACGCAGAGCCCCGAGTGAGCCCTGAGCACCGCTGGGCACGGCTCCTAGGGTGAATAAAAGCAGAATGTGTTGGTGTGTGCGGGTTACTCTGCGGCCTTCACTGTCTTGCTTCTATTTGAGTCTCCTCTCCTGCCCCAAGGCCTCCGGTTCCGTGGCCTCCAAGAACCCCCTCAGCACCGTGGAGGCTCATGGTGGCTCCAGCGCCCCCTAGCGCCACTCAGGTGCTTACCAGGACAAGTGGGGGGTCCTGCCCCACTGGTGCCTATTCCCCTCCCCAGCCCTTCCCCTCCCCTGCCTGCACCCTGCGGGGCAGCTCAAGTCTCGTTTACAGGCCAGGCTAATGGGTGTTTTGTTCTTTAAGGCCGGGCTTAGCAATGAGGCTGCTATGGAGAAGGAACAGACGAGCCACGCCTCACGGTGTCAGGTCAGGCCTGATCCAGCCGCCGGCCAGGGTCCTTCCTCCCCTAACCACCCCCCCACCCCCAATTCCTGGCTCACCAAGTGATGCTCATGAACCAGGCCCGGATACAACACCCTGGCTCAGAAGCTGTTTCTGACAGGCTCAGACTGGGTTTTGTGGGGGAAGCAGGGGAGAAGGGGACAACCCCCAATCCAGGGCTCTCCCCAGCGACTCTGGGAACCAGCCTGACGCCCGGGAGCATCTCTGGGGTTTCAGACCCATTTGAAGTCCTCCGGGAGCCTGGAATTCACACGGCCTGTTCCCCAAAGCCTCTCCATAGACCTCAACCTACCCACGGAGCCCCCAGACTTCCACCACTAGCCTGGGGCGAGCAAAACTCTGCTCGCCAACCTTCACCCACTCCCCTCAGCCCAGGGCAATTTGGGCCACCAGGGCTGCCGAATGGGACACCCTGGAGGGTTCTGGAAAAGATGAAGCCCAGTAGGGTCACGAAGAGGTCCCCTCCCTGCCCAGCCGGAGTGCCAGCCTTTGAGCCCCTGTGATCCCGGGGCTTGCAGGGCAGACTGGGCCTGCCCAGCTCACGGGGTGTCCGGTCTTCACGCTCCCAACTCCCGCAAGGTCAGGCACCGTCACCCTCCCTTTATTGGGGCTCGGCCCTGGCTTGTCCGTTCTGGGGACGGGAGGGGGCCAGAAGGCTGCGCCCCTTTAAATGCCCCCTTCCAGGCACCAGCCTGGAGGGACAAATGCAGGAGAAGCAAACACCTTAATTGATGAGCTGAGCTTGGCGGCCACAGATGAAGGGGAGGCCCAGAGCCCCAAATTAGCTTCCTGCTTCCACGACAACAAATTAGCAGAAGCTCCTCCCTTCCCAGGGCGCCCCTTCCTGGCCTGCACCTTTCGGGGCTTTCTAGGGGACAGTTCAGCTCCTGCATCTAAGGGTTTCTGGAAGCTTCCATGACTGTCGGCCCCTTCACTCTCCCCCCCACCCCGCCCCCCACATCTCCTCTCTCAACTCTCCTGTGGGCCCTGAACTCAGACTGAACATCTGGCCACCTCCTCCCAGTGGCCCTTGGCACTTGGAGCTGGTCCCTTGTGATCTGCCCCTGGCGCTCAGGCTCAGCCTGACACCCAGATGTCCACCACCCCGAGTCCTCAGCCTTCCTGTGCTCTCCTGCCACCTTCCCGTCTGCCTTGGCACCCCCAGCTGTCCCTCAGGCCCCTCCATGCCACCAGTGCTTGAGCCAAAGATGCCTCACCAGGATAGACTCGGCCCCTGTGACCCCCTCTGGCCCCTGCTCACCTCACTCTCCTTGAGCCCCAACCACAGAAACTGTGTTCCTCCACCCAGACACACCAATCCAACCTCAGGGCCTTTGCACATGAACTTCCCACTGCCAGAATAGCCCCAGCTCGGCATGGGCCTCCTCCTCCTCCTCCTCCTCCTCCAAGAAGCCTTCCCTGACAAACCACTTAAACTCTCCCTGATCCTTCCCTACTGCCTTGACTTGCTAGAGTTCTCCAGTGCTCATCTGCTGTGCGAGTTCACTGAGTGACCTGGCCTCTGATCCATCTCTCACCTTCAAATGTCAACCCCATGACACACACCTGTCACCAGACCCCACCCCTGGGCCCGGGCACAGTGAGGGGTGAGTGAACAAAGGGTGAGCGGGCCCTGGCTTCTGCCTGGCCAACTCCCAACCTGTGTCCACCCCCCAAAAGGTCAAGTCAACCATCCATCCTCTGGCGCCCTCCACAGGCAGAAGCAGTGGACCCTGGGCGCCCTCAGCATGGAGGTCAGCACGGGCCCCTCCGTTTCCTTCCCTCACCTCTTCCCGTCCCCTCGAGCTTCCTGCACCCAACACTCTGCTCCCACCCAGAGCACCCCACTCCACACCATGTTTCCAGGCCAGCCCTCAGGTACTCTGCAACACCCTGCTAGAACAGACTCCTGAAAGCCTTCCTGAACACTCCTATACATCCTTCAACACCCGGTTCAAGACCTCCCACTCCCTTGTGTGCACAGGCTTCCTGCTGTGGGACCGCTCCACCCCCACTGACCTCAGGGTGTGCTCTGCCCAGTTGGGGTGAGTGCCAGCCCCCTCCCCACATACAACCTTCTAGCGGGCGGCTGCCCTGGGCTTGCCTGGCTGTTGCCTTCCTGGGGAGTACAGGGGGGGGCGCAGTTCTCCAACCAGGGCCCGTCCCGGGCACAGCCCCTCTGACCTAAGACGGACACACTTCACGTCCCCTGCACACACTCGCTCCATCCATGCGGCACACACCCCAGAGCTCAATAAACGCTGAGCACCGAAGTCAGCAGCCTCTCACCAGGGATCCCAGGCAGGCTTCTGGAGGGTGGGCTAAACCCCTCTCTGTCCATCAGGTACCTGGGGCTCCTCTGCATGGTGAGAGGGCATGGGGGTGACACCTGCCCTGTAACTTCCTGTCTCCTGAGTCCAGCGCGCAGTGGGCGATGAGTCTGGGGCTCCCAGTGCAGCACAAAGGCTAGCATGGTGGGGCTCCCAACCCCCCCCCACGCTCTCCTACCAGGGACAGTCACGAGACACCCCAGCCTGGAGGTGTGGCTGACAGTGGCTAACCCCATTATTACTGCAGTTCCTGCCACTCCCTGGAGGGTGATGCAGAAACACGGGGCCCCTTCCAGCAGCTGCAGGACCAGGTGAACCCCTGGGCTGCTGGGGAGAAGCAGGAAGCAGATGCTGGAGGTACCCCTGAGACTCCACCCCACCAGGCAGCGGCAAGCAGTGGCAGGATGACATGTAGGGTCAGCTGGAGCTCAGGTGGCTGGGACCCACGCCGCCCTCCTGCACGCCAGTCTCCTGTACTACTCTCTGAGCTGTGCCCCAGCCCAGCAGTGTCCCCTGTGGCGACTCGTTTCCCTCCCAGACACGGCAGGAGGGGCTCCTGGCACAGCACACACACTCAAAACCTGTCACCTCCTGATACTCGCAGCTGCCCATGGGACATGTGCCCAGGTGACTCTCCAAGGGGTGAAGGTGATATTCGAACTCAGGGCCTCGTGACTGCCAGCCTCAGACCCAAAGGCTGTAGGTGATCACCAGGCCCCCCTCAGCTTGCCTGGCCCTGGCCCTCACACCTTAACCTGGAGGGCCTCACGGTGCCACAGGAACCACGATTCTCAGGAATCCCAAGTCCACCACCCACCATCAGCCCCAGCCCCTTCCCACTCAGCTGCAGTTCCCACTCGGCTGCAGTTTCCCCACCACCCAAGCCCAGGCAGGGTCTGGCGGCTGATTTTGCTTTGCTGAGACCCTTAAGTCACCTGGGGCACCCGAGACAGCCTGTCCCACGAGGGAGGTCCCAGAGGCCCCATCCCTGCAAGCCCGAGAGACCTGGGTGTGTGTGTGGGGGGGGGGGGGGGGGAGGCGGGGGTCTGCCGGCTGAGCCCTAGAGTCCAGAGGGCGCTGACTGCTTTTGTGTGTCTATTGGGGGGTGAGCATCAAGAAGGGGCAACTTAGCCCTGCATCCCCCCAGCCCCCCACCCCCAGGGAGCCCACCATCGACCGTCGGGCTGGCCGCCCCGGCTGAGCAGTGCCCACGGGGGACGGCTGGGCACGGTCCTCGGACCAAGGAAGGACGGGGGAGGGGGGTGGGGTCCCTGCTCGGCCCGACTCCCGGGGTTCGAACGCCACTGGGGGCGTGCCCGCGCCCCCCGCGCCCCTGTCCCGCTCCCCCCCCTTCCCGATCCCCTCCACTTCCACCAGCAGCGCCGCCACTGACCATAGTGACCAGAACCTGCGGGCCAGGTCCCGCCCCAGCGAGGAGCGATCCGGTGCGGGAAGGCGCCGCGGGGGTCACTCGCCGGCTCCACCGTCGGGTCGGTCGGGCGGCGGGGGGCGAGCGGAGAACACACCCGACCGCTCCGCGAACCTGCGCTCACACCTGCACCGGGTCCCAGCGAGACACACGCCCCGCGACTGACGTCGGGCGCGGGCAATCAGAAGCCGCGCCCGCACGACGTCACAGAAAGTGGGTGGGACTTCACGCGCCCGCAGCCTATGCCGAGAGGGCCCATTTGACAGGGCGCCGCCCCCCCTTAAAGACACAGCAGCCTTTCAGCCCGGGCCCGGCGTTTAGCCCGGCCCAGAAAGACAGGTTTTAACTTGGTAAAGGCTTGAAGGGCTCCTAACAAAAGTTTCCAGCTGAGGTCTCCCGAAAGATTAGCTGGCCGTGATTAATCCACCAACCAGGTCAGGTTGATCCAGATCAGGGGATCGGCATGCAGTGGACACGTGTCCTAGACTTGACCGTACTCGGCTGTATAGAAGCTTCTAAACAGTATTTTATCCCCATTCCAACTCATGAATCAGTTGGTTTCCAGGCACCCAATTAATGTTTGTTGAATGAATGTCCGGGATGGTTGATTCTGTGCTTCTGCAATTGTCTGACAAAGAAAGGTATGTACCAGGGCACAGGCTGAGAACCAGTTTTGGCGACGCAGTCTGCGTGCAAGCTCATTATTACTGGACATCAAACGGAGGAGCAGGAAGCGTTCGAAGATTCGAGCCCTGCTAAAGTTGCTGCTTGGGGCGGGAGAGGAGGGCAGAAGATGGGGCGCGCTGCCTGCCTTCATCTCCCAAGTATTCACACTCTTGGGAGTGTAGAAAACAACTCCCCACCCCACTCACACCCATGGGCACCAGCAGCAGGCTGGGCTCCTGGGAAGACAAACATCTGTACCTGCCAAGGGTACATCATCTACTAGGAGGCAGGGAGTCTGGGTGGGAGGAGAAGGAATAACAAAAGCACCCAATATTATCCTCTGTAGCCCATGTGGTCCCCGGAGCCCATCAGGAATGATCCCTGAGCCTAGAGCTCAGTCCTGAGCACCATGGGGAGTGACTCCCCTCCCCCAAAACAAATCTGTTCATCTACAAGCAGCCTTTTTAGTATGTTTCTTCTAAATTTTCTGTTCGTTCGTATTTTTTTGGCCACACTGGGTGATGCTCAGGGCTTACTCCTGACACTCTGCGCAGGAATCACTCCAGACGGTGATCAGGGGATCATATGGGGTGCTGGGGAACCTAACCTGGGTTGGCCACGTGCAAGGCAAGTGCCCTCCCGGTTGTACTATTTCTCCAGCCCGTTTCCTCTAATATTGTTATTGGAGAACTCACTCCCAGTGACTTACCCAGCAGTCCTGATGCTCAGAAATACCAGGGTCACACCCCTCCCACACACACACACTCCCTGGAATGCCCAGGGGAGGTGGGTGGACCGAATACCCCCAAACCTTCTATGGCAGCGTCCACCCCCAGCACTGCAGCTATGTCAAGGGCTCCACTTCCTCGCGACCAGTTTCTGCAGAGACACCAACCTCCAGGCTGAGGCCTCTCGGGTTTCTTTGGGAGTTGGGGTGGGCAGCCTCATACGCCTCCCACTGTCCCCCCCCCCCGCCCCCACCCATCCCTCAGACTTCCCAAAGCCCCAGCAACCCGGCCTACCATCTGCATCTCGGCTTCCTGGAATCTTTGGAATCTTTTCCAGATCATCCCATCCGGAAATGTGTGCATGGCTTAGACAACTCCTGAAGCAACAAGCTTCATAATTTCTTAGGCAAGGACTTAGCAGTGCTGCGATCAGACATAACCATGCTCACATAAATTTATTTTCTAGATCTATTGATATGAACATTGCAACTTTATTATGAATTTTACTCCTAGAATTGTATCAACAGTTGCCACATTTTCTTTCTACATTAAATTTTTTTTTTCTTTTTGGGTCATACCCGGCGATGCTCAGGGGTTACTCCTGGCTCTGCACTCAGGAATTATTCCTGGTGGTGATTGGAGGACCATATGAGATGCTGGGAATCGAACCCGGGTCGGCTGCGTGCAAGCAAGGCAAACACCCTACCTGTTGTGCTACCGCTCCAGCCCCAATACATTAAATTTTTAACAATTTTTAAATTGGGAGAAAAAGAAAAAAAAGAAATACCAGGGCCAGGAATTAGACTCTGGGCTCCAGCATGCCAGGCTGAGCCTCTGGAACTGGCCTTGAACCATCTCCCTGGCCCCGAATACTTTCCTCTAGGCGATTCCAGGAAAGACAACTATGAGAATGAATCTTGCAGGGGCCCTCCTTGCTCCTCTGAACCCCATCCTGTGCCGATGTGACTGACGGCATGTCTTCTTCACCTCTCTGAAGCCTAGTCTTCACTGACAACAGGAGCGACACCGTCTGTCCTGTGTGTCTGGGGAAGTCACTATGGGAAAGCCCTTACAGGGGTGGATGGAAACACTTTGTACATTGTCATTGAAGGAGACGCTGATTTTTTTTTTTTAGGATGGTGTTAATGAAGCCATGTTCAAAAATCCAGAGACTCCCAGCTGGAAGAAAGGACCACCACAAGGGACTAGAACCTCAGAGATAGACCCTCACCATCAGCCTGCTTGCTCTCGAGGGACAAAGGTGCCTAGAACAGGTATCTGTTCACTTTTTTTGCTTTTTGGGTCACACCTAGCGATGCACAGGGGTTACTCCTGGTTCTGCACTCAGAAATTCGTCCTGGTGGTGCTCAGGGGACCATATGAATTGCTGGGAATCAAACCTGGGTTGGCCGCATGCAAAACAAAAGCCCTACCCACTGTGCTATCACTCCAGCCCCACATTCACTGTTTCAGTATTTGATCGCACTCCCTCCCCACCTCCAGTGTTTGAATAACATTCACCATCTCGCCGTAGAAGCCTCCAGATACGCACAAATCAGGAAGGGGGTGAAGCAACTGAAGGAGCCGAGATCTAGGGTGGTCGATGGAAATGAGATCTTGGTGCGGACGACCAGGGTCATGAAGGCACATACAGAAATAGAATTCTGCCCCCCACGGAACTGTGCATTGTGTTACAAACCAAGCTTATTGCAGTCATGCTTTTAAAAGGACACAAAGATCTACAGAAGAAAATCAGAGATCAGAGGCCTGTCATTCCAGGCTCTGCGCTGCAGAAACGGAGTTCTCAACCCAGCTCGTCCTTCCACACCTCCCGCTGTGGTTCGCGGTTGGCAGAGCTGAGACTTTGCCAAAGTGCTAGGGGTGGTGATTGGGTGGCAGGGGGTGCCCAAAGGAATGCTGCAACATTGTGCAACAACCAACCTCATCTGCACGACTGGGACTTATTTCCTGGCATGACAATCCTGGGGGACCCCCAAACTGCTGTGTGAGACTTGGAGGTCCCCCAGTACCACCAGGGTGGCCCAGGTATTCCCTAGCACGAAGGGCCCGAGCAGCACCTTTGCATTGAGCTGCCAAGCTCGCTGACTGAAAATCACCAGTGGGGCCTCCAGGATTTCATGAGCACTGTTTGGGAGTACCCCATGCCCAGATGTTGTAGATGAGGGGGCCCTTTCTGGCCCGGGCTGGTCTTTAGGATGCGGTAGCAGCATTATTGGGGAAGGGGGTGTCCTGGGGGGACCGTGAGAAAGACAACTTGAGCAGGGTCTGAAGTTTTTTGGGGGGGTCACACCCTGTGGTGCTCAGAGCTTATTCCTGCCTCTGCACTCAGAGTTCACTCCTGATGTGGCTCAAGGGACCATATGGGAAGCCGGGGGTCAAACTCCAGTTAGCTGTGTGTGAGGCAAGCTCCTTACCTGCTATACTATCACTCCAACCCCAAAGTACAGAGTTTAAATGAAGGTCCTGGAGGGTTTTACCAACTTTGTCTTCAATGTACCTTATGGATCCTGGTCTGATGTTGAGGTTTTTTTTTTTTTTTTTGGGGTCACACCCGGCGATGCACAGGGGTTACTCCTGGCTCTGCACTCAGGAATTACTCCTGGTGGTGCTCATGCTCAGGGGACCATATGGAATGCTTGAAATCGAACCCGGGTCGGCCGCATGCAAGGCAAACGCCCTACCTGCTGTGCTATCTCTCCAGCCCCCGTTGAGTCTTTAATCCATTTTGATCTTACTTTTGTACAAGTGGTACTACATGGAAAGTATCATGCTAAGCGAAATGAGTCCGAAAGAGAGAGACAGACATAAAAAGATTGCATTCATCTGGGGAACATAAAGTAACAAAATAGGAGACTAACACCCAAGATTAGCCAAGATAAGTACCAGGAGTTTTACTCCATAGCTTAGAGGCCAGCCACACATGCTAGGGGAAAAGGCAGCTCAGACAGAAAAGGGAGCACCAAATAAAGGGTGTTGGGAGGATTCTCCCAGGATGAGAAATGCATGCTGAGAGTAGACCATAGACCAAACATGACTGCCACTCAATGCCTCTTTTGCAAACCACAGCACCCAAAAGGAGAGAGAGCGCAAAAGGGAATTCCCTGCCACAGAGGCAGGGTGGGATGGGGATGGGGAGTGGGAGGGATCCTGGGATCAGTGGTGGTGGGGAATGGGCACTGGTGGAGGGATGGGTATTTGATCATTGTATAACTGAAACCCAAACACAAAAAATCGTAAGTCTACAATTGTACCTCATGGTGTTTCACTAAAATTTTAAAATAAATAAATGAAGATCCTGACCCAGAGTCCTTCCACCCTGCAGGCTTCCGCAGATAAAGGAGTAGGGAAATGTGGGGTGCATCTGTGGGGAGGGGGGAGGAGAGAGGGGGAGAGCAAGAGTGTGTGTGTGAGAGAGAGAAAGACTGAGTATGTGAGGGAGAGGGAGAGTGTGAGGGAGAGAGGGAGAGAGTATGTGAAGGAGGGAGGGAGAGAGAGAGTATGAGGAAGAGTAAGAGCGTGTGAGGGAGAGAACAAGAGTGTGACGGAAAAAGTGTGAGGGAGAATAAGAGTGTATGTGTATGAGTGAGAGAGCAAGTGGTGTGTGTGTGTGTGTGTGTGTGTGTGTGTGTGTGTGTGTGTGTGTGATGAGGAATCCACGTGCAGGATACAGCAGCCCTAGCCCTGTCCCCCCAAGGGTCATCCACACATCA